ATATATAGAATACATATATTCTTCAGGGATATTGGTCAGTTGTTTTTATTTCTGTGCAGTATTTGTCATATTTTGGTATGAGGAAAATACTGGCATCATTTAAAGGTAGATAAGCTACAAAATCATACCATGTTCTGTTTTCAGGTTATTCTCTTAACTGAAGGTATGAGTCATCTGAGTGAGTAATCCAATTCCTAATATGGACAATCTACTCCAAAAATAGGGCATAAGATAAAGTTCTAATGAATTTTTCAGGATGCTTGGGCTGCCTTTTCAGTTTGGAAAAGTTGAGGCGCATTACACAAGGGTACTTCACGCTCATCCACAATATCTTCCTCCTGGGGCTCCACTGACAGCTCACCACAAAGAGCAGCACAGGAAACCACATGAAGACCATTTGATGACACAGAGTGCAAGTGGAGATCCAACAGCAAAGCCCTGAAACTTTCTTCTTATGGGAAGCAAAAGTTCTGTGTCACTAAATGAAGAACGAACTGCAAACCTTTACTTTAGGGTACAGACAAACTCAGTGCTTCTGAAGAAGAAGTAGAAGCAAAACAAGTCTGCTTCTTGCTTCTTTTCCCTTGTTTAGGGGTGAAGGAGAAAATCTCTACCAAGGAGTTGGTAAGAAAAAAAACTTTGGATCTGGAAACCAAAACTAATACTAACCAGAGGTCTGCTCACTACTGAGGAAGTAGCATAAAACAGCTACAAAAGATCAACCACAGGTACATTTCAGTTTGCTCCTGTGGGGAGAAGCAGCACAGATGCTGAGAAGATGCACACTGTAAATTCAAACACAAAAGGTATTTGCTCCCACAATGAACTTAACACCAAGTAATAAGAATGAGATCTGAGGGAAGAGAGAAGCCAAGGCTAACATAAAATACCATAGAACAGGTGGTTTAACTACAGAACTTTTCCCCTCACAGTTCTTTTTTTTTTTTTTTTGAAAATGTGCATTTTATTTCATATAATTATACAATGTTTACATATAGTTGTGACTCTCAAGAAAATGTATTTTCTTTACCAATTGTATGTAGTGCCTAAATCTTTCACTTTAACATGGACAATGGGAAAGAGTGGAAATCCACATTGAATGCTATTCTACAGAAGTTGTAATGGGCTGCAAGTGTGCTAATCAGAAAGAATGGAAGCCTTAGAAGAGCAGTGTGGCTTTCAAATCCTTGGCTTTAGTGAACACAGGCATACTGGATCCATAGTCTCATCTTGCAGTAAAACTCAAGACAAAATAGTGTTGGACAAAATTCTAAATTGTACAATATTGAACAAAAGACCACAGGGGACATTTTATTTAAAGTAGCACCAATCCACAACTGATTGTCTCCGACATCAATCTTCCTGTTGCCCCTATCATTGGCACTTTGAGTGGAAATCTTTCTGCTTCAGTAAGGAGTCTTGCACTGACTAAGCAAACTATGTGACTAAACTCTACCTAAAGTGTGGCAATGTCAACCTGGGAAATGGCACATTTAAACCATTATTGCCCTAGCATGGTCTTGCCTTTTTTGGTATTTTCTCCCTACCTCCTGCCCTAGCTGGTGTTTTGTGGATGTTTCTGTGACGGTGGTAAAAGTAAATAAAAATGCATTTAAGGGGTATCATGGTAAGCAGGAGTTTAGAAACAAAACAACAAAAAATAAAATAAAAGAATGTGGCCTTAGCTAAGGAGGTTTTCTCATGTTGTTTAACTCCAGGAAAGTCTGATCCAGCATCTGATGCATACTAAGGTTTTCTTCTTTGGCATGAGCCACTTTCTCTTCTAAGTCATCAATGCTTTTCTCCAATTTAGTTACTGACCTCTCCTTCAGCTTGTCAGAAAGGACCTTGATCTCTTCCTCATATTTGTCTTCCTTCTGAGAGTACTTATCCTCTGCAGCCATTAATGTTGTCAAGGTCTGATCCATCATTCTTAATTGCTCTTCCAGCTGTTGAACTTGGCCTTCTGAGAACTCAGCCCGCTCCTCTGCACGTTCCAGGTCACTTTCAATGATGACCAGCTTACCGGCCACCTCTTCATATTTTCGGTCGGCATCTTCAGCAATGTGCTTGGCCTCTTTCAGTTGGATCTCCTGAATTTCCCTTTTTTCTTCATCCTTTTGGGCTCTTCTTTCAATGACTTTCATGCCTCTCTCGCTTTCATCTGCTGCTCTTTCAGCCTCCACCAGCTTCTGCAAAGCTGTTGCCAGACGCTTCTGAGCAGGATCCAACTCTTCCTCAACCAGCTGGATGCGTCTGTTCAGAGAAGCTACATCAGCTTCAGCGGTCTCCCTCAGCTTCCTTTCAAGGTCCAGCTCGTGCTGCAGACTGTCCGCCCGCTCCTCCGCTGCGTCCGCATGCTCCTGTAGGCTCCGGATCTTTCTCCGCACCGCCTCCAGCGAGCTGCTCGCCACCATCGCAAGGGCGGCGGCGGCCGGCGGGTTGCGGTGGAGAGGC